CAGACAGACAGACAGACAGACAGACAGACAGACAGGCATAGATATAATTGGGTTGTACAAATAAGCAACAATGCGTACGCTTGACTGGCAACGCCTGATAGCCCATCATAGTTCATGAAGATGCAGAATAAAGTAAGGAATGCATAATCTTTATTTGTTAATCTACCTGTAATATATCACAAACAGCACACTGCACACGCCAGGCTGCGATCATAGGCGGCGGAAGGGGGGGGGGGGCACCGGGGCACCGTGCCCCCTGTTGGCATTTTAACATTAGCCTTATGGGCGTTGCATGGAAAGAATGGGACCAAAAGTCGGCAGTGCCCCCCCCCCTTAATTGAAGGTGTTCCGCCGCTACTGGCTGCGATGATGCAATACGATACGATACCTACGATGCGATGATGGGAATCAATTAAGTTATTCCTAATCAACCTAGCTGCAGCGTACCACAGCGTACTTACGTACCTCGCAGCTAGCAAGATTACGTTACTAATAGCATTTAGTTACACGATTGGCGCAACAACGGCTCCCTTTAATTGAGCTTATCAGGATTGCCGCAATGCGGTATTATTGCCGATCAATCGTGCACGACACAGTAGATGTGCACCGGAAAATCAAAACTGCGCGTGCGCAATTTGTCGGCACGCGTCAACTCCGGGAAACTGTGGGGACTGGGGCAAAGGGGAATGAGGGGGAGGAGGATAAAAACACTCCAACCAGACACCAGAGACCACTCACTGACCAGCTGTCGTCCTCCCTCCCCCCGCCCCCTTGAATTACCTGTTCGGAGAGCTACTGCTGAGAAGGGGGCAGGTGCTGGAGGGGGGGGGGGGGTAGGCAGGTGAACACAATAGGCGTAGGCACCAGTGCCTGTCGATAGACGAATCGAATTCGCTTTCATATGACCGCGAGCCTTATTTATTGGCAACTGGTCAACTGTTTCAAATTAAAAGTTCACCGCTTCTGCTTTATGACAAATTATTGCTATACATAATTCTACTACCATCGATTCAATGTACCTTTGTTTTTCATTTTTATAGCAAGCGGTCCAAATAAAAAACAGCATGAACTCCAACTCACACTGGCATTCTGCGAATGGCCCCCACCGCGAGCGGGGTAAGGGAGGGATGGGAGGGGCACCCCCAGTGGCGCCGACCACGCTACCCCTCTCCTGCCTTCAAAGGGGCCGCGTCTGCCCTCACGCGCCCCCCCCCCCCCCCGCGGATGGGGGGTGGTCGGTCGGTCGGAGTCGATGTGTTGGTGGCTGATTTTCCACACAATTACTGTCCTGGAGAATTACTAGCCGCTTGACGTCAACAGAAGAGCCGAACAGGGCTTCCTAGCCGCAGTGGATCGATAGTGAGTCTCTTGGCATTGGGTCGGTAACCAGGAAACGGCCTCACATGAAGTGTATTGCATTGATCCACAAAATTTGAAAGAAAAATAGATGAAATGAATCTGTAAGAAATTGTCGAGATTGCTGACGGATGACGAGACGCAATGTCACCTTTTGGTGCAGGTTAACTGCATGGGATATGAGCACTGAAGAAAAACAAGCACATGTTATTGGTAGGTACGTGTCTGTTAAACGATTTTGAGGTAACATAAAAAACATTATTTTATATAGATTTGTGGGTTAAATGAAACACTTGTTGGATATGTCGTCTAATGCACAGCAAAAGGTACATATTTAGCGAAATTAAAATCCCTTAGCAATAGCATCCCACATTCGTTGAGGAATTGCTTCACTTCAAGTTATCCCGTGTCAAGGTCATCCCTACACGCACATGCCCTTGGCCCTGTCGGCTAAAATCACTGGGCAGCATCTTCCCACGGCAGTCAGCTTCCGGTAAGCGCCCCCCCCACGGGGAGGGGGAGGTTCCGGCGCCTCTCCCCCCCCCGCCCCCGTCCCGCGCCCGTTGGTCCACAGCCAATTACCGGTGCGAACCTAACCTCACCTCGGCTGGCCTGTCTGACCCTCGGCAGGCCGACCGAGACGGTTTGTATAATGAAGATGGTCAGAAACATGAGTCTCGCGGTCTTGCCCGGGGCAGTCAGGTTTAGGATGTGTCACAGACTGCAATGACTGCTGGCTGGAGAAGACAAAATTAGCAAGATGGGGAGAGAGAACTGTGCACTCGCCTTCAAGAAGCTCCGGGTTTGGTCATACCAGTTAGCTATGTGAGGATTCTTTCGCAAGTTTTGTCGTGCTGCAGGCAATCAATGCTGTGATATTTTCCAAGAGTAATCCGTCTTTTAGGTGTGATGTGGCTGTTGTGGCCAAGTGGTTTGCCAAATAACATCCTTGATCTTTTACTCTAAATTACTTGGCTGCGTTAAGAAATAACTTGAGACTATGCGGATAATAACATATTTGTCATTATTGAGCATTCTGACGACTTTTCCAGGCCATCTAAGAATACCAAGAGGATTTTATCCTTCCACACATTTTAAGGGTCACTTACCTCCCGGGAGCAGTTAAAACGCATCAGTTTGAACGATCAAAGACCATAAAACCGGCTCAGGCCAACCCTTCGTAACCAAAGGCTGACGAGAGTCAGCCGGCTAACCACAAAGCACCAAACAAAGTTTCCAATAAGCTCACAACAGACGCGTTTACATAGGGTTTGTTGCAAGCTTATATCTCCGTCCGTGATGTTGCAAAAGATGCCAATGGTGCTTAACAATTTACAAAATGATCCCCTCTAAATATTTGAAAACCACTGCAACGAAATTATCGCCAAATTAACCCTCGCACGACCAGGCCATTTCTCATAACACGAACGACCAGGGGGGGGGGGTTGTTACGACCCCCCCCCCTGGCGTTTCGAAACGGAAGGTCGTAGAGCTTAGCGGAAAAAACCAACGGATTGCTCTCAACGAGATCTCGCGATTGGTGGTATATTTTTTGGTCCTAGGTCAACATTTGACCTACTTTTGACCGGTCAAAGGTCAAATTTTCGGAAAAATAGACTTTTTTCAACTTTCGGCGGCGATTGCGGCAATACGGTGAGAGATATCGACTTGAAACCTTCACTATCGTGTTCCTTGATCAATTCTCTATCGTTTGGTATGTATTTCGTTTCCCTAGCTCTAAAAATGGCGCGTTGGGAGCGCCGGAAGTCGGCAAGGTCACAGTCGGCGGCAGAAATTCGAAAAATCAAAATTTAAATTTTTGAAATCTGATTGTATTTTTGGATTTGGGAGGTCCATTTGCTCCCTATAGAAGCTAATATTGCTGCATATTCCCATTGAGGTGACAAGAATTAGCAAAATAGTGGTTCGGGCGCTTTTCAAAAATAGTACCGGACGCTGTTCCTCTTGTGACGTCATAGCTCCGTGACCTGACCTGACCCGGTCAAATTTCTTATACCATATGATAGCCAATACTTGCCCCAACATGCATGGGAAGTTTCATCACGATCCATCAACCGATGTCCGTACCACCGGCAGGAAACCTCGGGCGTTGGCACTCAGTTTGTGAAAATCCGGCCGGAGGCTGTACCTCTTATGACGTCATAACTCCGTGACCTGACATGACCCGATCAATTTTTTTCGGCTAAAGATGCGCAAAGGTTGCCCCAGAGGGTATTGAAAATTTCAGCCCGCTACGACAAGCCGTTTAGCGTGCACTTCGAAAAAACCTCAGGGGGGGGGGTTGATACAACCCCCCCCCCCTAGGCGTTCTAGGGTTAACGAGCTAGAGCCTCGTCAAATATGCTATGTAAACCGGGTTAACGTCTGGACGGCTTAGTCCAGTTTCTTGGTCACCTGCCGGGCTGTTTTGGTCCTCACGCCCCCCCCCCCCTCCCCCTACCAGCACGCGCGGTCACCTGTCGACGATGGGGAGGGAGGGGGGGGGGAGGGTGCCACCACCGCCGCCGTGCGGCTCCGTAGAGGTATGTGCTAATCACCGACCCGGGAGGTGCCTTTGACTTGCCGCCGCCACCGAGGCACTGGGCTACGAGACCGGAGAGAGAAGGGAGGAGGAAAGAGAGAGGAGGAGGAAAGAGAGAAGAAGGAGAGAGGGAGAGAGAGAGATAGACGGAGAGAGACGGAGAGGGAAAAGAGGGGAGAAGGAATAGTGAATAAGAGAGAGAGAGAGAGAGAGAGAGAGAGAGAGAGAGAGAGAGAGAGAGAGAGAGAGAGAGAGAGAGAGAGAGAGAGAGAGAGAGAGAGAGAGAGAGAGAGAGAGAGAGAAGATAGAAAGAAAGAAAGAAAGAAAGAAAGAAAGAAAAAAAGAAAAAAAGAAAGGAAAAGAAAAAGAGAAATATAGTAGAAGGATGGGGAAGGACAATGTGCCCTCTAAATTTTACGAGGCGTACGGGTAAAAGTAGTTTGCGTTAGTTTGAATGCAAAGAATTACGATTGAATAAGAAAACAAATTAAACATTTATTGCAGGATCTGAGGCTTCATCTTACCTTCTCACCAAAGCACAAGAGCGAATTTCTGTTTCATGTACGTACACCCGACAGGATAAATGAATAAAATCGAAATTCTGCTAAATGTTTACGTGACAGGAAGGGATGATCTGCGCTTCCGGTCTCCCCGATACAAACGTGAGGAGAATTGCTGCAGGCAAACGATCTACACATTTTTCGATAGGCATCTTGATTATCGACTATGCTTGCATTTGTGTTCCTCAGTTGCCTGATTTCCGTGATATGATTTGCAGTGCATTTCAAACACATCAATCCGAAAGACATGGGGCCATTCGCGAGATGTGTTGGATGTTTGACGAGATATGTGCATTGTACAATCCAACTTGTAGAGTTCGTTGTGTGCTGCACTGTTCTTACTCATTTGATCTTTCCTAGTCTACTTGTCGTTCACGCTGTTTTTAATAGCTATGGATGGTTTTCGGTTGGTGTTTTATTTGCGATTGACCACGCGAAAAATGTTCATATGCGTTCAAGTATTCTCAATAGTCGCGCCCCCTCATAAAATTTAAAAAGCATGCTTCCATGTTTTAAAAATGTATTCATACAATGCACACAAACGTAATGAAAAAAAAAAACACTTAGCACGAAAGTACGTCTTACAACGAGATCTTGGTCAAAACACCAAATTAAAAATGATTTTCTCATCTGAAACGCCTCTCCAATAATATACATCAATTTGGATGTCTTCCTGGAAACATTTTTGCTGGCACATATATGGCAGACACGAGATCACAGCGCAACACAAACATGGACAAGTGTTCATTTCTACGTCGTGTTCTAGGCACTGTCAAATAGCATTGCACTCGCAGAGAAATATTGAGCAAAATGAGGTTCCGATTTATGGATGCCTTTTGCAAGGTAAATAGCGTCAGTGCCACCATGTGCTGGCACTGCTAAAAAGGAATATGTATCTACAGTTCACAGTCTGACAGTTTCATGAGCGGTAATATGTATGTCCTCTAGTCTTTTCAGGTACAATTTCCTGAGCATCTTTGTCGCCATGGTAACTTCAGAAGTACACAAACCCACCGACGAACGATTCACTTAGTGAAGTCAAAAGGCTTTGCGATGAAGCCTTTTCGTTTCACCTGGAAACCTGGTCACCACGCAACCGTTTCAGCCTCACTAGCTAGCAGTCACCACAAGCACTACCTTAGCAATGTCTGACGACGAATCAATCCCTGAGCTAGGCGGCACAACATTAGTTAACGCATCACACTGTCTCATAGTTCAGCTCCATAAAAAAGATGAAACACTGATGAACACCAAACTAACACAAAGCAATGCCTACCTGATGATCACACAATCAAATGCCCCTCAATCTAACAACCGTTCCAACCGAGTCCTTCCCTTTCACTACGTCTCCCTCCAACCCAACCACCAACACCACACTCACAACTGCCTCTGCAGCGCTGCAATATACTCCATTGCCATTTGCAGAGTCTCGTGTTTGGACAGCTGCGCTTCACTACCCTGTGGAAGATGCTGCCGAAGGAGGTCGAAGGCCTCGTTCAGCCTCTGCATCCTTCGTCTTTCTCGGCAGTTGGCTCCTTCTCTTCGACGGCGCCAGACCTCGTCAGTCAGCGCGCGACGACACCGCTTTTTGGAGAGAGGAGGTTGGCAGGGAGAGGGCGGGAGGAGGCGGGAGGGAGGAGGTAGAGGGGCGGAGGAGTGGGAGGAGGACGAGATAGAGCACGGTGGACTGCATAGTGGCGGACTTCCGGCGGAGAAGTCGGCTCCGGGGTCTGAAATGAGATGATGAAACATAATTAGCAAGATAGTTATGCAAACGACAACGATAAAACTAACGAATGATGCCCGATGACAGTTATGGGTAATTAGGAGCTGGGTCGACACAAGTAAGCAGAATGCCTTACAAATAAAATAAATATTAATGTCAAACGATGAAAAACACGTTCATTTCAGTCATCAGAGCACGAGTGCTTTGCTTTATTTTGAAATATTTCCTTATCTTGAGCGTTATGCATATGAAGTCAGCTATAAACATCTTTCCATATTTACCACGAAATCGCTATAAATCAATACATTTTCACTCATCTCACCTGATTTTAGCGTGAATTCGCCATATATATCGTAGCAGCTGCCAGGACTCTCCACCTTGACCAGAGACGTCACATTCTCAGCATCCTGCTGCTGCTGTGGAGCATCAACTTCTTCCACTTGTCCACCTTCCAGCCGCACGTCGCGGTAGAGCCGTTCACCATGTTTTACCACAGCACCTGTGTCTCTCCGTGGGCTGGTCATGCTGCTGGATATGCTGAACGTCTTGGTGGGAACAGTCGCGCAGATGAATCTGTCCTCCAGCACAACACCACTGTCAGGACTGTCAGGTAGTGACCAGGTCATGACAGGTCACTGCCAGGTCACCAGGGCACGAGCTTGACCTCGGTGAAAGCCGCTTGATCTCACGAAGGGATGTTGCCTTGAAGATTGAAGGGCAGATATTTGAAGAGCTGACGCCTTCAAAGAGCCACGTTCGCTGCTGCAGGCTCCAAAATTTCAAACGCCACGACACAAGCCAAAACAGGCAAAAGACTCAGTTGTCTTATCACGCTGTTCCAGCACAGGTTTCTAGCACGTAAGTACGGCGTCACTTCAAAGAACAGGAGTACCCGCGCACGCAGCTGCTCTGGTGTTAGTGCCCTGAAGTCGGGTGGCGGCGTTGAGGTCTTTCTCAGCGGTGTGGCGGCCGGCGCGCGCCCCATGGAATTTGGGGCGCTGATTGGTCCACGGCACGGGACGGGGCGGGGCTTAAACAGGGACCTATATGATGTGCCTTGGAAGTGGAGAGGGAGGGGGTGATATAGTCCAGATTCGTTGGTGATTTCGTATTTGTAATTTTGTTTTATGTAAGACAGACGCTACTTTTACAAATTAGACCTGGCAGCATCATGTTGTGTTCATAATCAAAACAAATAAATTCACGATAATAATGAGACACTAAAAAGCATACGCCTCTCCCAGAGGACAACACGGATAATAAAACACGAATGCTCATTTAATTCATGTACTATTGAGCGCAGAATCCGCGCTCATACCGGGACCGAGGCTGGGCCACGGCGGGGCAGGCCTGGTGTGTCAGAGAGTGTACCGATTAGTGTGATGCGGCACAGTATCCTTTGAGGGTCACGGAATGACATGACCTGGCTGTTTCTGTTCCGAGTGGGGCGGAAAGCCGGGGAAGGAGAGCCGCAGTATGCGGCCGCAGCCCGCGTGGAGTGTGTGCGGCTAGACGTCAACGTGAGCGTGATGGCACACCTCAGTGATCTTGACAAGGGCAGGCTCATCTTCCTTTTCGATCAAGGTCACCCTGTCAAGCAGGCGGCAGAGATTCTCGGTGTAGCTCTAACTACTGCCAGACGGTGGAAACACCGTTATGAGCAGGAAGGGGAAAGGGGTTTGAAAGCGCGCTATGATAAGTGTGGAAGAAAAAGGAAGACGACGGAGGAGGAAGACAGGCGCATGGTGGAGGTTCGTACTTTTCTTTTATTATTTGTTGCTGTTGTCTCTGTATTTCTAGGTCAAGACGAGCGTGTAGTATCAGATGACTAATCAGGCCAGCATAATGATAATATCGGGCCATAATGACTAATCGGGTAAGCATATAATTATAATATGTCGATTAAACAGCATGTCTAATTGATTAAACGTGTCAAACTATTTAATGAGGTTAGTGCTTGTACGAGGAACACGTTTATAAATAGTAGAAAATGTAAAAGCATGGCCTTTTTTCCTCGATAATTACCAAAACTAATGCTGTACAAATATATACTTTACTTGACAGAATGTAATATTTATTTCGACCACAGGTCTTTTTCAAACATTTTCAAATTAGAAAAGTGTCAAACTATTTATTTCAAGATAGGATTGATAATAGGTAATAGCGAGTATTTTTTTCGCATCTCGCTTAATGTCGCAAGAGCCACAGCTCAAACGTTTTATGTTCATGTTGAATGCTTGTAAAGTTTGTGAGACAAAATCAGAGCACATAAAAAATCGAACCAACTGAACAATGGTTGACGGTTTCCTGCCCTCTGGGTGTCTAAGAGACAAAACCTAAGATAAACGTTTTATGGTCTTTGTGTAACAGGTCAAATGCCAGTAAACGTTCGATTGCACAAGTCATATCCAGGTAGATATCGTTTTTGCCCAGCACGCCGTCTTCCCCGCACTCTTGCAAACGGTTCCATGTCAATTCCACCAGTGACATTTCAAGCAGGTCAAACCAGTGACAACTACTCAACCAGAGACATTTCAATCAGTGACGACTCAACCAGTGACATCTGAACCAGTGACAACTGAACCAGTGACAACTCAACCATTGACAACTCAACCAGTAACAACTCAACCGGTGACAACTCAACCAGCGACATTTCAACCATTGACAACCAGTGACAACCAGTGACAACTCAACCAGTGTGCTAAATGTATTGGCTCTATTGTCACAAACCACGTTGGTTAAGTTGTCACTGGTTGAGTTGACTGTATACCCTTGTGAACATGTGCATTTTTTCATTGTTGTTAAATATGTCTTTACTACTCCGGCAGGTGTTTTTGCCCTCCGTGGAGGAAATGCGCCCCGACGAGGAACGACCCTGGACTCTAATGAAAGACAACGCCCCTATCCACACAGCGAGGGCAGTAAAGCGGTGGTTCGAAGACCACGCAGACTCAGTAAGTGGCATCATAAACCTACCAGTAAAACGCCTTTTGGGCGAAGAACGAGCGAGCAAGATAGTGAGCCCTGCTCGTGCGGAAGGGCGAGAGGGTACTTCCAACGGGCTTGTGCAAAGCACCCTTCTAACCGGTCACTAGCGGTGTACCAAATTTGAGCGCAATCGGCCCAGCCGTTCTCGAGATCTGGGAGCGCCTCCTGCACGTGCGCACGTGCAGTAGCACCTTAACCGCAACACATGGGAATGCATTGCCTGGTGGGTGCCTACCTGTATGCCAAGTTTCAGCGAAATCGCCCCAGTAATTACCGAGTTAGTAAAATGGGAACAAATTTGACACCTCTTATTGTTGTATTTTGCACGTGCAATGGGGGTGACCCACATGCATCGAGAGTATCCTATTTTTGGTAGAAGGGATGCTGCTACCCTACAAAAATTACCACCAATCAATCGCCCAAGCGGCTGCTGAGATATGAGCCTCTCAAAATCACTACTTTTGCAAAACAGCTTGAACACCCTTGACTTTTCACGTGGCACGTGCCACGACGGTCACTGAGTTGCATCAAAAGTAGTCAATTACGGGGTAGAAGGGATGGGGCTACCCAGCAAAAAAGACCGCAGGCCAATCGGTCCAGCGGTTGCTGAGATATAAGCCTCTCAAAAGCGTTACAGGCCGGGCCGGGCCGCTCATACTGAGATTTTCCCGTTATATTGAAAAGACTCACTTCGCTCGCTGCGCTCGCTCGCTCGTAATTATAGTATATATTGAAAAGACTTCGCTTCGCTCGCTGCGCTCGCTCGTAATTATGCCCGCAAACTCAAAACCCGCCTGCGAGGTCCAGTGTGGGGCGGCCTTAAGTTGTGGTATGGTTTAGCTAGGTGACCGGTGACCTGATGGCATTATTAAAAAAAAAAAAAAAATCTTGAGATGCTGTGTATTTACTTATCTGTTTATTCATTTTCACCCCAACAGCAATGCATCCCAATTAGAGGAGGCGAGGCCTACGGCTATGTGCGGGAGGCCGCTTTGCCCCTGGTCGCCTCGTCCCCGCCTGGTATAAACTTGTTGAGATTACTTAAACAATTATTTTAAAAGTTCTTAAGATGCCTTACAAAATTGCTCAGTAATGATCAAACACTTTCCAACAGGTGTTATTCGTTGCACCATACAGCTTCATAGTCATGACCGATGTGTCAACCTATATCACGTTACAGTGAGTAACAAACATGGTTTTGTTCGCAGGTTTGTGCCATCCCCTGGCCCTCAATGAGCCCAGACCTGAACCCTATCGAAAATGTGTGGTCTCTAGTGGTTCATGAGCTGGAGGAGGAGCTGCGCCAGCCGGCCCGGCAGCTCAACCAGGACGAGCTCTGGGCCGCCGTCTTGGCGAAATGGGAGGAGCTCCGCCGCCGCCCCAGGGGCATTCCACGTCAAATCGAACAAAAATCGGCTGTTTTGCACCTTACCATCAGCGATTTCATTATAAATTTGTGAGCGAATTCCTGTGTCGCCCCGGACATTACATTGATGTTTTTTGCACATTCTGACCACAGGTCTTCTAAATATAGGGCATCAAATTTTTACAAAATGTTGCATCTTTATATTTTTGAACGACCATAACTTTGGTTGTACTTGTTTGATTTGAATGAAATAAACCTTACTGTTTAGGTAATTTCTTAAGCATTTGTTTAGAATTGCATCGACTTAAATATATGACCTTGAAATTTGCTTAACTCTGTTCTTAAGCACAAAAATTGAAATAGCAAAAAACACGCCACCTTCGATTTGGCTCATTTTCATATATTTTATTGCCTACCATATTCTTAACAACCTGTGAAAAAATTAGAGTGGGCCATTCATAAGTTTTGAAGAAAATGGCACATATGCAAACGTATGTTAGCACGCGCAGTGGAGGGGGAAGAGTGAATTTCGCCCCACCCCTCCTGTTTTTCGCCAATATCTCATAATATTGATGCGAAATTACTTATGGCTACCTGTCCAGAATTGAATTGCACATCTCATCGTGCAAGCAATAAGAAAATCGGTTCACAACTGTTCTAGTAATAGCGGTGTAAAGTGAACATCCTGTCGCCGCGGCGACGCGGCGACTCGGCAGCCGGCGCCGACCGCTACGCGCCGCCTGAATTGTAGACTGTGCCGGGACGGAACGGAACGGTTCCGTCTTTACATCGCGCTCCTTACCGCTGATTACGTTCGATTCGCGTCAAATTTTGTGAGAAGGCTAAGAAATGTACAGGCAGTCTTATGGTGAAAGAATTCTGAAAATAGGTTGGTAAACAATTGAAATATGAACGTGTAAACACAAAATTGTGACTGCTGCGTTTCCCGCGTCGGCCGATCCCGCCTCAGCCGGCGACATGTTACTCTTAGCAGGACTCTAACTGCCATATTTATTATCGGATTAACTAGAAATTCCCCATACATACTCAAAAATGTATGTTCTTTCGTATAGTGAAGATCAAAAGACGTGAAGATATCGTTGCGTGATAATGTTTTCGTTGAATTTATGTCATGCTGCATTTCCACACGGCTCAAAATTCACCGCAAAATACCGTTTGCCTGAGACACGTTTACAATGGAACGTGAATGCTTGACTACGATGACTATGCATTTCCATTCTCGCAGAGTTTGGAATATCACTAATCAGCAATCATTCATTTCAGAAAGTGTACACAAGCAAGCATGTCTTGACTCTGTCTTCAAGGTCACGCGCGGTTGCGTGATGTTGGTGCATGAAAACGGCGTTTGCCGCGAAAGTTATGAATGGCCCACTCTAATTTTTTCACAGATGGTTAGGAACATTGTGACGGACATAATATGTAAAAATTACTCAAATCGAAGGTGGCGTGTTTTTTGCTATTTAAATTTTTCTGTTTTAATTCAAGGTCAAATGCATTTCAAGGTCACTTCAATTTAATTTTATAATTAAAAATCAAAGCCTTATCAATTGCCTACAAGACCCTGTTAATATCATTTTGATACCAGAAAAGGAACCAGAGTTATAAGCATTTAAAAAAATGATGTCTGGCATTTTTGGCTATATTCGATGACCTATATCTCGGCGATGCGTTATCAAATTTCGAAA